TGGGGCTCCTCATGGTTATAATTGCTTGACACTTATCTAGGTTAGCCTCGATGGTCCTCCGTGTCAGCATAAATCCTAAGAATTTCTTTTCTTGAACCCCGAAAGAATATTTGGCGGTGCTTAGGCGCATATCATATCTCCTGAATGATTGTAGGACATCCTCTAAGTCTTCTGCTTGGGTGCACCCTTTGATAGTCATAACTATCATGTCATCGACATAGACTTCTAGGTTTCTCCCTATTTGGCGGGAAAAGACAACATCCATGAGCCGCTGGTAGGTGGCGTCAATGTTCTTAAGGTTGAAAGGTATGATATTGCAATAGCAGTTGCCATGATTCAACATGAAGGCTATTTTGGGCTTGTTCAGAGGATCCATCTGAATTTGGTTGTAATCTAAATATGCATCCATGCTGCTCAACATGCGGTAGTGTGATGATATGTTGATGAGGCAATCAATGTCTGGTAGCGGGTACATATCTTTAGGGAAAGTGGTGTTTAGGTCGGTGAAATCTACACACATGCACCACTTATTGTTATCTTTTTGTATTAGAACCATATTGGCCACCCATGTGGGGTATTTTGTCTCCGTGATGAACCCAACGCCAGATATCTTTCCCACTTCTTCATAAACGACGACCCTCTTTTCCTCGCTAACTTTCTGCTTCCTTTGTGCCATTGGTATAGAAGAAATGTGGATGATGAGGCAATGATTAACCATTTTGGTGTATATTTTTATCATGTCAGAGGGAGCTCAAATGAACAAGTTGACATCCTTAATGAGTTGGTTGAATAGTTTCCGTTCCTTCTCGGTGGACAACAAAGTAACTATCTTCATCACCTGATGGGTGTGAGAACCCATCTGGACCTCTTTCAACTCCTCTGCGAGCATGAGCCTTTCTGCTTCCGTAACTAGTATGGGGTCCCAACGCTCAACGTCAGTATCTGGAGTTTCAGAAGGAGGGAAATCAGCAAGGGAGAGCTCTTTTCTAGCTACCTCTAGGCTACTTTGATAGCATTATCAACCTTCTTGTTGGTCTCATCGAATTGTACTGACTCGCCCAATAAAGAGCGGGTATTTCGAGATTAGGTACATGGTAAACACGATTTATCCAAGCGATTTGATAGTCGGTCACCCTAGAATGATATTTTATGGTGATATGGCATCTAAAATCAGGTAGCTAATAGAAATCACCTTGGTGTTTGCTGCCTCGCCACATGTGGTTTCCAGGGTTATGTGGCCTATTATTTGTACTTGCTTGTCTGATAACCCCGTCAAAGAACCACTGAACAATTTCATGTCGTTCGGATCAAGTTGTAGTTTCTAGAAGGTGTCCAAAAATAGGATGTCAGCAGAGCTATTTGGATCTATCAAGATACACTTTATGTCCTAGTTACCGCGTTGTATAATGGTGACCAAGGGATTATCGTTGTGAGGATTGATGTCGACAGCGTCCTTCTCGAAGAATATGATGTTAACCCCTATTTCCTTTGATAGCTCTTGGGGAAGCCAATGGATATTACATTGAATGCAAACACCTGCCCTGTGTATTTCCTTCGAGAAGATATAGAGTTACCTGCACCTCTAAAACCTCAAGCGATGGTGTTTGTGTTGTAGGTTACGATTTTTTAACCCATCTTTAGAGGGGATATGAAAGGAGTTAAAGTAGGAGTGTGGCCCATATTAGTTTTACCAGGGTCCCATGGTGGGAGCCACTATAATGGTAAAAAAAGTATAGGCATGTGTGTGTTCCCTCTATAATGGTAGGGAGATTCAGAGGCCTTAGTAGGTGTATAACGTTGTATGGTGGTTATGAATTACTCACGACGGTGAGAAGCCTTGTATAATGATGTTTTATGGCAGTGTTAGGAGTCTTACTCACGTGAGGTGAGAAGCTATGTAGATGATCGATGGACTTAAGTGTAAGCTTCAGTGGGGGTGTAATCATATGAGAGATGATTTTGATAAGCGTTACGCTTTAGGTTATAATGATCTATATAAATTAAGATTTGTCCTTTTCTCCTACAATGAGATATATTTATAGAGGCGTCTAGAGACTAAAATTCTCTTGGGAAGGGTCACTGTCCACTCAGTTAATGGAGGATTATTAAATCCCTATTTTCTAGGAAGTCGTGGGTCAGTTATTGACTCTGACTTCTCTTTCCACCAGAAACGTCTTTTTCTCACATTTCCTATGATCGTGCGAAAGGAAGTTCATGGGGGTGAGGTGATACCTCCCATCGAGCAACATGTTATTTTCGCCTCTCATGGGGCGTCCTCTAGCCACCGCCCTAGGAGAGTCCCCTTGCAAATATAACACTATATTTTCCAAGATGAGAAGAATGACGAAAAAAATTCTTCTAAAACTTATTATAGAAAATGAAATTATTTGGATGAAGATAACTTAAAACCAGAGTGCCCAGGTGTCCTAAGAGGTTGTGCCATAATTCTTTGGATAAAACGGTAAATCCGGTGAAACGTTGCTAGTGGTTGGTCTTGTGGTAATTGGATAGAGGACACCCGAACTATCACATCTCATTAAAACCAATAATTAGAATATTATGATCATTATCGATAATAATATTATTGTTCATATTACAATAAGATGTGGAATTACTTCTATTTGTAGTGATGTGAGAAGTGACTCTGGTATCCACATACAGTTGATCATCAAAACAAGCCATAGGTAAAGTATGCATCGTAGTTTGAATGATGCTTGATGAATGTAATGGTTAGTTGTCAATTGTTGATGTGACTGCCATATGAGCTTGCTAAAGATTAGACCAAATAATTCTTAGCTAGTGATGAGAAGTAAACTAATTCTACCAATTATGTGTTATTGGGTGTTGACATGGTGGCATGGCCCATGGTTTCCACATTGTATCCCATTGTTTAAAGACCCAATGTAGTTGTTATGAAGAAAATGACGGCCACCATTGATGTTGTGATTGGCTGCCGCGACCTCCGCCTTGACCCTTGCCACAAACACCATGACTATTGCCTCTACCGCTGTTAGAGGATGCACTATTACGTCCACCAAAATAGTTGCTTCCTTTTTGTTGTTATGTTTTCGATGATGAGAAAAACTTCCAACAGAATTATCATCTTGGGATGTGAGAAACATAATGTTGTCAGTGATGGTTGTTTCCTTTTTCACTTTGGCCATTTCCTCCAAAATATATCTCTATGTCAAATATGTGACTCGACGATGGCGTAAGCATCAGTTAATCTAGAAATAAGTTGGAGTCTCAATCACTCGTTAAATACAAGAACACTAACATTGGATAATTGATCAAAAAGTGATTTTAGACGTCGACAATACGATGAAGCATTAGAACTTGCTCTATCTATATTCGTGAAAATTCTTGTTCCTAATGAAGTGCTCTTGAAACCTTGTCAATTTTTTAAACAATCAGTTCAAAGTAATTTCAGTCGTTGAATCACGTTCGACGATTGTCTTAAGCAAGTCATCAGATATAGTATCATAAATCTATTATATGACAAATACATCAACACACGACTAAATTTTTAGATTAATTTCTATGAGAGAATGATCGATCATATCATTTGTGTATGAAGGAATGATATGGACAATGACTTTGTAGGCTTTTGCATGCATTTTAATGAGTTATGACCATCTATTACATGGACTATTTTCTATATTTGGCCTAACTTTGACGAAGTTGGTGATATTTAGGACAATGAGGGGGCAAGATGGGGGACATGAGTATGGAGTTTGAGTAGGGACCAAAGAGAATTTTGGTTCTGAGGAAGCAATTGGAGATGGAGGATTAGGTTCAACCATGAGGTAGAAGGAAGCCGTTGGAGAGGGAGGATCAGATTCATCCATAAGGTAGGAAGAAGCCAGTTTCAGCCGACGACTGTGAAAAATGAGAGAGAGTGATTTTCAACAACCGAATAATAAAAACTATGTTTAAAAACAAACCTTTTTGATTCCATGTAAAATAAGTATTTGCCTTGCATATATCATTCCGTAATCATTTATATATACCAGAGTAATTTAGCTATCTAGATATTACTAAATATAAATACATTTTATATTTCATATATATTATATATTTATTTATTAAATCAATCTCATTAATAAAAAAAAGTTATTCGTATAATTTAATAACATCTTGATAATCAAATTATTCTTATATATATACAACAAAATATGCAAAGAAAAATATTATCTTACAATCATTAAAAAAAACTAATAAAATTTATTATTCAAACTAGATAATTAAGATCACAATAAATAATAAAACTCTCACTAAATTTTTTCAACAGGATAGATTCTCTAAACATCTGAAATACTAGTGTACAGTTCATGTTTTATGCATTTAGTGCATTTTGGTTTAACCATTTTGACCAAAATTCCAAAAGGCAAAAAAAAAGTTAGTGGTTCCCACTTTTGAAATTCCAAAACCAGTAAACCATAGTCAAAATACTTGACACAAAGGCTATATCAGTAATTTCACCCATAGACTAGCCCCCTACGACACTTTCCAGATACACTAGGCATTACACTGAAACAAGAAGGGTATTTTGGTATTTTCAATGGTCCCCTCCTTATGTTCTGTTTGAGACAATGATTTTCCGTTCAAGAATGGCTTGCATAGTTGGCAATGTCCTTCTTCTCCTTTACCTTACCACAACCATGGATCCGTACTCTTAAACGTGCTTCTGTTCACTCTCTTTGTTCCTTCTCTTTGGCAGTTAGTTAAGCTGCTCCAATCCACACACCCACCTACTTTCTCTCTCTAATTACTCTAAAAATCCCATCTTTTTTTCATTCTCTCTCTCTCTCTCTCTCTCTCTCTCTCTCTCTCTCTCTCTCTCTCTCTCTCTCTCTCTCTCTCTCTCTCTCTCTCTCTCTCTTCATTCCTTCATTTATTGCTTCCCTTTGCATTCATTCAATCAAAAGTTCACATTTTCATTGGTTTCAGAAGGAGTTATTAGGAGGTAGAATAAAGGGTCTTTTTGTGGGGCTTGGAAGATGCCTCTGGTTAGGTTGCAGGTGAGAAATGAGTTTGGTTTGGGCGTGCCTGAACTCTATAGAGATGTTAATAGAGAAGACCCTAAAGCTGTTCTTGATGGTGTTGCTGTTGCTGGACTTGTTGGGATCTTGAGACAACTTGGTGATCTTGCTGAGTATGTTTGAATTTTGATTCTTTCAGTTTTTTGTTCCTTTTCCATTAGTAGTTGCAAATTTTTTACCTATCTTAGTTGTTTGGGAAATGGGTCTGGTTAATTTCTCTTGTTTTGAGTGGATTGGAGCTTTAAGGTTGTGGATTGGTGAAAAAGTTGATTTTGGAAGTGACTTAATGTGGCTCTTTGGCTTAATTGTTGTTCAGAAAGATGTCCTTTTTCTTAGGTTTTTGGGCCAAATTTCAGTTGGTGAACTAAAAATTTCTCTTTGACTTTTTATTATTTCTTTTTGTAGACAATTATAAGTTGCATACAGCTATACCTTGGTTATACTTTAGATAATTACTCAAATTATTTTGGCTTCTCAACACTCTGAGTGGTTCACCAGCTGCAAGTTGTTCCAATTATTATGACTTATGAGGAATGAATTTGTGTAAAAATGCTTTCTTGCTCTAATATTTCGATTCATTATTTCTTCCATTTTGCATTTAAGCTAAACATCGGTAGAGTGCATGCGGGATCGTGTATATTCTTTCTTGAAACCTTATCCTTGATGCTTAGAAAGTTGCATAATGATGGGTAGAGGTTATTCTTAGTTTGGCTTGATATAAATCCTGGTTCAGGAGGGTCTGTGTTTTCTGTCTTAAAAACAATGATGCATAGATATGATAAGTATTTGATATCAGAATATGATTATTCTTGAAAAAGGTTGTGCGCGATGACAATGTTTAGTCTATAGAATAAAATTGTGCATTGAAGTGTTGTAGTACTATCTAGAAATTATAATTCCGAGTTGGTAATTGCATGTCGCACTGAGTTTATAATGAAATGGTTCCTGATGATTGTGACATTTTCTATGCTTCTTAAGACCTTGTTCTTGTTATGAATGGTATTTGATCTAAGTAGTTTAGTTTAGTTTTTTCTGTTATTTTTTTTTTTGTTACTGATGAAACTTTTTAGAAAATGTAGTTTTGCAGCAGAGGTTTTTCATGGTCTGCAAGAGCAAGTGATGATAACGGCTTCTAGGAGTCATAGATTGATGATTCGTGTTCAAAACATTGAAGCTTCCCTACCTCCCTTGGAGAAAGCTGTATTGGCACAAACAAGTCACATACATTTTGCCTACACAGCCGGTATGGTTATTTTAAGCAATGATCTCGTCCTGCATGTGAATTTACTCATACAATGTAGTATAGGAGCTCTTGATGAAAACCAGTTTCCTTTCAGGTTGCGAATGGCATCCACGCATTAAAACTGCTCGAAATCATTTCATATACAATGACTTGCCTCCTTTTATTATGGATTCATATGAAGAATGTCGTGACCCACCACGAATGCACTTGCTTGATAAGTATGTTGAATTTCCTTCGATTCTATGTTGTTTTTCTGTTCGAGAATATTTAGATTAGTTAAATACTAAAGCATAAACAGTTGATTAGTTTCCAACTTGTTTGGACCGTATCCCCCCCGGATCACGTAGTTTTGAAAATGTCAAATACTGTCATGTAAGTGTTCCGTACTGGTTATTGAAATATTTGTGTGCCAACCAGATTCGATACTGGTGGCCCAGGATCTTGCTTCAGGAGATATTCAGATCCAACCTTCTTCAAGAGAGTATCTGCAGTTTCAGAAGAACGGTACTCTGAGAAGACCGAAAAGGCTAGGAAATCCCGTAAAAGCAAGGTACAATAGCAATCCATGCATTTCAGTGGGAAGATTGTTTTTAACCAAGTTCTGTTCCCGAAAGAAGCATATTTCTTTGGAAAGATAAAATATTTTTTTCTTACATGTAAAATGTTTGACAGAAGAGACGGGCGTCACGGAGGAACAGCGAACTTTTGAGGGGCGAACAGATGCATGGAAATAGTGGCAGGTATACTTTCTGTGTCTACTCTATAAGTACTAATGGTATGCGTATTATATATTTAAAATCGAAACTTACTTAGTGTATTGACTATGCAGAATGCAATTTATTTCTCCCTCAATCAATGGCCGAAGTTCATCACAAGCAGCGTGTACAATAGACATGACAATGAAATCGGATTTGGAAGATCGTTCAAATTCTTTTGATTCAAAATCTGGTGCTGGCTACATTGAATGTGTTTTCCATCCAAGCAATTCTATGCAACCCGATGAACTGGATTGCGAGGAACCATCCTCTTCAAAGTTGACGCAGAAAACCGAGACTCTTAAGTCAGTATCTCCTCCTATGGATGATAACATTTCACACGACTCATTGGAAAAGCAAGTTGCATCTTCTTCATCTGGTGTTACTTGGGATGAAAAGGAAGAGATATTGGAATCCAATAGTCAAGCCTGCGAGACGGATAAAACTCCAGAGAGGCTTGTGGAAAAACAAAACTCAGATAGGCATGTTAATGAGGCCGTTAGCGTCGCAAATATTAGTTACAATGATATTCTATTTAATGAAGAAAGAAACCTGAAACCAGTCTTCAGAGAGATTCAAACAAATGATATTGATAGTGAGCCTGATAATGATAATTTCATGGATGCTCTTAACTCAATTGAATCAGAATCTGAAGTTGATTTTGACTATGAAACAAAACGAGAGGTGCAGCAAGTTGCCTCGCAAGTTACTTGTGAAATGGTTGAAAATGGTGGGACTCAAACTCCTTCTAATTTATTTGACAACGATGTTCCTAACTCGCTACAAGAAAATCCTTCTCTCATGTCCGAGTCACATGCTACTAATTTGGGGTCAGCAACTACACCAAATATTCTCCTTATTGAAAAGGTGACCAGAGACACTGTTTTCTCAAACAACGAAGCGATCAATGATTTGCCTGACTCGCTGCAAGAAATTCCTCATCTCACATCAGAACCACATGCATCTGAGTTGGACCCTGCGAGTCCATCAGATGATCCTTGCCGCAAGGAAACGTTTGGGAATTTTCCTGACACGCTACCAGATATTCCTCCTCTCACATCAGAGCCACATGAATCTAATTTGGGATGTGTGAGTCCATCAGATGTTTCTGCCAGCAAACAAATATCCAAGAGTGAAGCTGATTGTCATTCGACTGAGAGTCACATCTCTGAAAGGGATCCTCATATACATGATAATTTTGCTTTAGATCACTTAGCAGGGACTCATACGTCCATTGATTCTCCTATTGTTAATGATACAGTGTCAGCGCCCATCAGTACTGATACAACATTTTCTGGCTCAAAATTACCAGATGAAAAAGCCGGGAAGATCAATAACATCTTCAAATATGAAGACACACATAAAGAGTCTCTCAATGATAATTCGGTTAGGTTCTGGACTAATGGTGGATTATTAGGACTCGAGCCATCAAAACCTCCTGATTTTACCATGTCAAGTCCATTAAATCAAGGGTCTTTGAGCACAGAAAATGGTGATTCAGTTGGCAGTTCAATGCAAAAGAGCAATGGTTCAACTTACAAAGACGGACAGGAATCATCAGAAAAGGTTACTCAACAGACTCTAACTGATGATCAGGCTTGTATATCTGAAAATATTTCCCGGGGTTCTCAGCAGAGTAATGGTCACACTAAGAGGAACATTTTGGCGGAAGGTAATGTTAGTGCACCTGGAACTGTTCTCTTGGCAGCAGCTGACACAAAGGATTGTGCTGAAACGGACCCGAGAAATGGTGAAAACTCGTCACAGGTGTTTGGACTTGGTCATAGATTATTAATAAAAAGCTTCAACCGCAAAGTTTCGTTTGACGAAAAATCTGGACCTTATGGTTCTTTGAAATCTGTTATATTGGAACAGAGTGAACAAAATGGCATTGTAAGACAGCCGCATCCCGAGACAACCTTCAAAGAGAAAGTTAGTTTCAGATACCCTATAGATTCACTCCCTCCTTCACCGCCACTCGAACATATGAAAATATCTTTCCAACCTCTCAGTGGACTTGAGACCTCCAAGCTAAAACTGCAATTTCCCGATGGAAGTAATCATCATGAAAGTATAACAGATATGTTTCCTTCGTTCCAATTGGTACCAGAGTCCTCCATTCCTATGGATGATTCAGGCTCTCACTCCGACGGTGACGACACGTTCTGTAGATCATCTCCTTGTGCATCATATGATTGTCACACCCCTCGCTCGGACTATGACTCTGATCAGTGGGAGTCCGATGAAACTCCCGAAAGCAGTGACCATGGCATACACGATTCTCCTCACAGAAGCTCATCATCTGAATCTATCTTAAGTACCAAAGAACATGGCAGAATGTCCAATAACGACACTGACGTAAAAGACGATCATACGAATTGTGTAGAATCTTCCTTATCCGGGCCTTTACTCGATTTTCCATGTTTCGACAATGTGAATCCCGTACTTGAGAAAGAAAGCAATCGGCATCACGAACACAGTAATGATGTTACGTCGCATAATTATGCTGAGCCTACTCGACCACCACCACCTCCTCCTCCGGTTCCTCCAACACAATGGAGAGTCACAAAACTGCAGTTGGACAAGTCAAATGAGATACAAAATTCTATATCCCATGATGCTGAACGAATCAAAGATCAAAGTCTTCCAGAATCTCCTATCTTGGAACAACCTAGGCATACCGAGGTTGAGCAAATACAACATAATCAAGACAGTCACGAGTCTTATGATACTGTTATACATCAATTGAAGGAAAAGGTACTAATTCGGTCTTAATACCTCTATTTCTCAGACATTGCATTCATTAAATTTAACCACGATGGATAACGGAATCTTTCAAAATATTCATCGTGTTCTGTCATTCCCGCAGCTGGGTCCGCCGAAGTTGAATAGTCAGAAAGAAGTAAATCAGTTGAGAATGGGACATGAGACAGATGAAAGAGAAGATTTCCTTTATCAAATCAGAACCAAAGTAAGTAATCATTGTATAATCTCAACGATAAACCGGCAAACATTCATTTCCGTCCTCCAAATTGTCAAAATGTTAAGAGTTTCTATATCAACTTAGCATTATGTTGCAAAGTTACAAATCTAACTTCTACATTACTTTATCATTAATTGGTTCAGTCCTTCAACCTGAGGCCTACAGTAACAGGAAAATCGAATACTTCAACGGCCCCCACTGCGAACGTCCAAGTTACAGCAATTTTGGAGAAAGCAAATGCAATCCGTCAGGTATTCATCGTTTTTCTTTCTCCCTACTGTTTCCGGCGCTTGCATTTCATATCTAACTTTGCATCCATAATCAACAAACACGCAGGTTGTCGCGAGTGATGAAGGCGAAGACGACGATGATACCTGGAGTGATACATGATTTTTTTTTAATTCTTTTAATTTTCATACATGAGTAGAGTCATCTGTTTCTTTAAGCCTCTTGAAATGAAGTTTCATTGCATGAGGCTTTGTTGTATGTAAGCATGCATGTGTGAATAAATCATGTCTATTTTTGTTATTAATAGTGAAGTAGTGGTTAGTTTCCTTAATCTTCATTACCTTAATATGAGTTTATATCTTCATTAGCTGTTTTTGCTTTGAATCTTTATGTAGAATTGATGAAAAAATTTCTGAATTTTATTTCAGAGAAGTAATGAAATTACAATAATTGATAACTCAACTGTTTAAATAGACTATAAGTTATCTAATATGTCTAATCAATGGGTTGAATACAAATGATTATGAAATTATAAAATTACAATTATATTTACAAGATTTTTATAAGTTGGCTAAATCAGTTTGAGCCATTTTGTGTTTAGAGATAACCTGTTCAGGTGTTCTGGAAAAGTCCAACCTACCTCTGCTGATCACATCACGCGCCACGGTAGATGACTTTTAAACGTTTCTTTCCTTTGGCTTCGCCACAACATCACTCTTTACCTAAAGAAACTCACTTCATGCGCAAGACAATAGGAATGCATCACATTTTGATCTGAAAAAATATTTCAGTATAATATATAATGTTTCCTTTTCCAATGCTACATTTCATTGCAATTAATGCATGTCCTTCTTTTAACGTTCAACAAAATGGATTGCCTCAGAGACATTACTTTCTTTCTAACGTTTCCAACTTATCGGCAAAACTTCTTTCCATTACCAACTTTCTTCATTAGTAAAATCTACTTTTTAAGTCTTTCTTACAACAGCTATCGGGTTTAGCTCTCCAGTACTTTTATCATGGCAAAACCTTTTAAGAAAATCTTCGACATCAACGACACAAAAGGAACTATAGAAGGTGGCTGTTAGGGTACATCACAAATGGTTGGTTGTATCCAACAATAAGCAACACAGAGAAATACACATGTAAGTTCTAAATCTATTTCATCAGTTTCCCCTATGAGTTGTGATTACGCCTTTGATGTTTTTTTTTTTTTTTTTGAGTTGCTTTGATTTACAACCGAATGTCCTATGCTTGGTGATGTATTTATGTAGTTAACTTTTTATTCCTTTGGTTGGTGGTTTATTGGTGGGTTTCCCGTTGATTCTTGTCGTTGGTGGTTAAATTTTTTGTGTTTCCCATATATGCAAGACAAATTACTTTATACATGCATATGTTTGGTGATTTATTTATGTATTTAGCCTTTTTTTTCCTTTGGTTGGTTGTTTGTTTATGGATTTCCCGCTAATAAGTTTGGTTGGTGGTTTGTTTGTGGTGTTTCCCATGTATTCAAGACAACTTAGTTTATACATTGTTTTTGGAGGTTTTTCTATGTCTCAACACCTTTTATTTGTTAAACAATGATTTTTTGTTTATTTACTTTAATAGGGAATGATATCTATGTTGTTGTGCCAACAACGTTTATGGAAGTTTTTAGTGAAAAACTAATGATAGGCCACACATACACCATATCAAACTTCAAGGTTCATCAAAACGATATTGTCTTCAAACCTTTGAAACACAACTACATGGTGAAGTTCACTGGAGGGACTTCTGTTAATGACGTTGACAAGCATGAAATCCCACCAAAGCCTGTCAATTTCACCAATTTTTCAGATATCATGACTGGATAATTTAGAAAGGGACCTGTTGTTAGGTGATGGATGTTGATTATATTCCTCTACTTTTCTACTTTTCTTAATTTTACGAACGATTAATGTATTACAACTTTGTTTTTTCATACATAATAGGAATGGTTGATACCATAGGTTTCTCCCAAGCCCAATCTGGTGGAAAAAAAACAACAAGTCAACTTTGTACTCAGAGATATTGGGTAACTTTAATTCCTATTTTGTACCAAGGTTTTCTATAGTAACTTTAACCACATGCTTTCTTATCGTTCTAAGGCTTTGATTCATATGTGCGTTATCATTTATGTAATGATTCTAATTTAAGAAACAACACAATCAACTGTACTCTGTGGGAGTCATATGCATCCCAGTTCTTCAAATTCAACCAAGAACGAGAGTGTACACGGTGGGTCCAACAGTCGTTTTGCTTCAGTACGCAAAGGTTAAGAAAGAAGGTTAGCCTACTCATATTTCTATTAACATATATCCTTACAATGTATTTTAATGATTTGTTCTAATTTAAATAATATTTTATACACCCTAGGGAAATATTCATTCGCTATTACAAATACATACAATGTAACCAAACTGTACATCAATGCTGACATGCCTTGTATCAAGAAATTTATTGAAAGGTGCCTTCGTCTTCTTATTTCATTCCTAATTCCTGCTCAGAGAACATGTGAATCCTACTTTACAACTAATTTTTCAAATGTTCTTGTAGGATACCAAAGGACTCCTTTATGAGTCTTTCAATGCAATAATACTAAAGCTAAATATGACTATCTATTATTAGGTCTGCGAATTGTTCTCTACGAAACAATCCTTTCCCCTTTTTCTTACGTTATTACCTATTTGCACTACTACCATGAAGCTTATATATTATATGCATAGTAGTTTTCAAAACTATATAATAGTAATAAGATAATTCTTAATACAGAGAAAGTACTTTCGCTAAAAGGTGGGTTGTTATCTTCAATTTTACTTTTATATTATTTTTAAATCATCAATTGTATCAGCTCAACCTACATCAATTTATGATTTCCTTATAAAAAAATAGCCTTTGGAATTGTCGCTACTCGAAAAATGCAACGACGGAGAGGCGAAAGGAAATACAGAAGAGTCGTCACCGAACTTTATTTATCCCATGAGAGAAAGGAAAACCATCGAGAAAACCCTAAGAAAGGAACAAATAAGATGGTCTCGCGACCAAGAACGGGTTCGGAAGCCGGTTATGCGAAGGAAAGGTATTGGCACCCCTCGCATCCATCGTACTCGATGGAAACCATTTGTTTGTCTACATGTGAAGGTATCTGCTAGAGGTTTATTGTTATAAAGAATGTTCCAAGGGGAGAGAGAAATGTTAGAAACAAGGAAAGGAGAGGTAAAGGGGGAGAAAAGACTCGGTAGGACTTCGCGGTCCTAGGCCTACGTATTCTCAACAGATATGAGAAAGTCAGAGTCCACGTAGTTTGGGAAACTACAGATAAAAGATGGAAGTGTGCTCAGCAAGGATTGGAGCCCTTGTGCCTACGTATCTTTACTTAAAAGAAGTAAAGAGTCAGAGCAGCCGTAGTTCGGCCTACTACGGGTAAAGGAAAAAAAACGGATGTTCGCCAAGACATCACCGTCTTGTGCCTACATATTCCCATCTGGTATGAGAAATCAGAGCAACGTAGTTCGTGAAACTGTTAACGGATGTTTTTGTGGATGATGTTATCGTACGCATTCTAGCAGTTTAGGTGTATTGTTGCTCGCTCGTTGGAGACTTAGGCGTTACCTGTTTGCGGTATAACGGATGTAACATATCCTTTTTGAAAGATTAATTTTCGCCATCGAGACAAGATGTCACATTTGATTTGTGGGAGTTGTTTTTTAGGGTTGGAATAGGTCATCGGATAGTAACCCCTTGCGGGTAGTACCCAATTCTTTATCTCAAAGATTTATTATGGAAAGGTGTGGCGAATATAGTCACGTCTTCATATTGAAAGACGAGTATCGAGACCACACACTCTACAGTAAGTATCCTGACACTCGGAGAGGAAGGAGTCTACACTCAATCCCCTATCTTTAGTTCAATACAAAGAGAACTTCATTCTCTTATTTAAAGGTGTTTTGATCTTGAATGGTAAGTGCTTTGGGACAGTGAACCCTAAAGGTAATGTCAAGCACTTGGGATAGGAGAAGGTCTACGCCTAACCACTCCACAACCATTCAAGTTTTATTGAGAAAAAGATTTTGAAAATGCGCTTGGTGCGAGACCAAGGTTTTAAGAGAAAAGTTGTAAAAGAAGAAGTGGTGAATTGGTTTGACAGTTGGTTGAGAAAATCCGCTTGACGTTGGATCAAGGGTTTAACTAGTACTTGCGTGCAAAAACGTGGTGGTATGGACGTGAGTTTGAAAATGGCTCAATGACGAATCGAGAATTAGTTTGAAAAAGGATATTCTAGTCCTTGGGGGTGCTCTTAGTCGATAAGCCGTAGTCAAAGAAATACGAAATACGTACATCGGAAATGGGAGAAGGGTACATGCAAATTACACGGGATTGCACAAAAATAAAACGTCTCATTGTCAAGTAGCCCAAGAGAAAGCCGTGTGTGTGCAATGTGTCATAAGCTACGCTTTTGAGCGAAAGTCGGGCACAACTCCATGCTTGGGTTCCTGAAAATGTCCAAAGGTCCGACACTCGGATAAACAAACAACAATCCACCAATTTAGGATTTTATGGTTTCGATAATTTATTAAGTATTTTGAAAGAATGTACAAGTGAATATGAATATATACAAGATAACAATATACAAAATATAATAATATGTACAAGAATATCCATAATAATATATCAGAGTAAATATCAACAGGTATATGGACAAGATAATATCGACTGAAAATAAAACAGTGTATATTTGACAGAAAAATAAAAGTTAGTCGTCAGTTTATTAGTGAATCGAATCGGGACAAAATGTAATGTTAAACCGTCGTAGCTCGACTTATGATGGAAGTCGGACTATAGGAGATCGCATAAATCGATATCCATGCTATGGACAAGATAGAGAAATGATATTGAGGATCATTCTCCGACTTAATCGTGTCGCACAGACCAAAGAAAAGGGGGATCTCGTCTTAATCGCAAACATTATGTCGATTAATTGAAGGTAGCCTATCACGATCTTAAAGTAAAGAAAATGACCCAAATGGTCATTTTCTATAGACTTGAAATCGAGAAGGTTATCGACTTCGATAAAATAGAGTTTACGAATCGAAAGATATCATAGATCGAAAGAATTTAAATAAAATCGAAAATGAAGAAGAAAT